GGTCCCAGCGTTCTCGCGCACCTCGCTCTTCTAGTGAATTCAGTTAAATAATTGTTCAAATATATCTGTCATTTGTGTGTTTTTAGCTTTCTTCCTGTATGGGAAGCTTTTCAACATTTGAAACATTAGTGCAGTGGTTTATGTTAAAATAAACCTTTGGGTTAAGTTGCTGCAAGCTGGTTTTTCTTGTTTCTTTTGAATTTGGTCTTAGATTTTTATTTAAAGTGGCATTAAAAAGTCTTAAAAAGTCTTGAATTTAACTCTCCTGATGCTGTAGGAACCCTGCTGCAGCTTCTCATCTAGGTTCTGTCACCTCCAGCCGCCCACGGCTGGGAAGACGCATCACTCTTCCATTAATGTTCTCCATTGGTCGTTACTGATGCTGCCTTCAGTAACGACCAACGGAGGGCCGGGCGATAAACCCGATTTTTACCGTTGCCATCATTCACTACGATAACCAGGCTTATTTTTTTTCATGTTGGTAAAATTGCATTAAATAAGTTTGTCAGTAATTCTGCCTTTTTCCTGTGCTGGTGGCTGGTTTTTCCTTCGCTTTTAATTCACATCAGAAGCGTAAACAAAGAGAATGGCGGATGAGCCGAGTGAAGAAGCGTCTAACAGCCGTAAACCAGATGACATCAGTAAATCCTGTAGATCCGGGGGAGCAGAGATGAAGCTCAGAGAAAAGAGCAAAAGAAACAAAATGCAAAGTTTATCTGAAAACATAGAAACACATCCAGGCTGCAGCGCCTGCAGCTCAGCCGCACTGTGCAGATTAAAGATGTGCAAGAAGATCTATTACCTTTCAGCAAAAGCGTTCGCAAGAGAGAAAACATTTTTCTCCTGTTCAATGAAACATTGTTGGATGTTTAAACCTGAACGAGCAAAAGACTTTAATATATAACTGAAAGTAATATGTAATGAGAATTCTTCAATAAGTAAATTATAAATAGATCAGTTGCGTTTCCTGCACAGCCTTTATTTCTGATAGAGGAGCCTCAACATTTATCATTATCCAGCTTAAACTGTCCAGTTTATTGTGATATTGATGTGAGGTGGAACCGCCCAGCTCTAACCTCATCAACGACATGAAACCTTTATACCTGAGGTAAACTTTGACCTTTCAACATGGCGGACAGCAGGAAACTATTCTGTATGGTGAGCAGTTTGTTGCCTACAGAATGCTGTAAATGCATTTAAAAAAGAGATATCACCTTTTTACACTTTTTAAAATACCGCCATTTTTTGATTTTGATCAAATCCTCGCTAGCAGGCAGCTGATGCGTCCTCTTCTTCCTGTAGCAGATAAACTAGGGAATCTATAACGGCGGCAGCAGCAGGTCAGGATAATCTCTGGATCCAACATCTTTCTCTTTTCCACCAAATCAAAAGCACCTGAACACAACATGCTGGGAAGGATGATCTAAACCACAGGAAGGCAGCAGGAGTCTCACTCTGATGCAGGAAGTTGGTCCGTCTGAAAAGATGATAAACATTTAAATATTAAGAACTGCCATCATTTGTGTTTCTGCTGTTAAACCAGTTGCTTCCATTTAACCAGTTGGTTGATCTCAGCAGAAACCAGCAGCCTGTAAAATGATCCGCCTCAGAATAAAAGCCTGGGTGTTTATTTCTCCCCGTGTGCCTCAGGGTTTCCGACCTGCGGCAGTTCGTGGTGTTGGCGCGGCCAGCGATGGCGGCCAGAGAGTTCGTTCTGATGACCACCTTCCCCAGCAAGGAGCTGACAGACGAGAGCCAGACGCTGCAGGAGGCCAACCTCCTGAACGCCGTCATCGTTCAGAGGCTAAAGTGAGGCTGGGATGAGGCTCCGCCCCCATTCCTCCGCTTCCCTCACGCCGGAGCGCCGAGGGAGCAGAACACATGGACTTACACGGACTTCTAGTTTCTGATGGGTTTATTTCTGAAATTAAATAAAAGATCTTGCTTCCCGTGCCCTCCCTCCTTTCCATCCCCCCCCCTCCCCCCATCAGAGTGCAGAGGGCTGAAACGTTGAACCATCCTGCAGATGTTTCCCCTCAAAGTACCGGCCCTGCTGAAGGAATGTGATGCTGATGGCAAACGATTCGTCCAGGGAGACTCACTATAATGTCTACTAACCGTCATCCGGCCTCTGAACAAAGTTCTGAGCTTTCGGCAGCAGCTGAGCTGCTGCTTTACACATTAGATTTATCATCTTTTCCTTCTCCACAGATAAACAACAATGATACGATTCTGTTCCTCAACCCACTGATACCAGTAGCCTTACTCTTCTTTCTCCAGCGCCGCCCGCTCCCTTTGTTCAGAGAGGAAGAATTTATTTTTTTAAAATGCCTTTGTTTATTTTCTTTCTCCATTAAAGATGCTTCGCCCAGTTCAGACAACAGCATGTTGATGGAGTCTGACGCCACTGGTGGAACAAAAGAGGTTAAACACACTGGTTTCATTTAGTCAAATCTCAATTCTTGTAACGACGACATGTTCTATGCATCCTGGGGAAACAAATGTTTGGGTCTCCAGTGAAATAAACTCATTTTATGGTTGATGTAAAAACCTGCTGTCGGTTTTTCTTTTATTGACGTTTAAAGGAGAAGTCGGGTCAGCGAGAAATAATCAATGGATCATTATTGATACCTAAAACTAATAGGTTTGCTGTAATTTAATGAACTTAGCGTTAATCAGTCTGAGTCTGGGAGCGGCCATTTTTTCCCAAATCTAGTAGCCCCTCCCTCCTGCCATCTTCCAGCAGTGACGTCACGGTGCGGTAAGCCTAGCGCCATTCTCCCCGCTTTCCAAGCTAAATCAATGGGAACTACTAG